AGACACGATGAAAAACAAAGACTCTGACTAGACAGGAAACGAACTCACAATACTGATTAAACAGGTCTTCAGACAATATACTAACAGGGATTAACACGCAAAGTTAGACAATGTACCGACACAGGACAGGAAACACAAGGGGATTAAATAGGGAGACACTAATGACAAGGACAGGTGAAACTGACTAGACAATAATGACGAGACGAGGATAACAAGGGGGCGGGGTAACGTAACGAGACAACACAAGCACATGGCCAAACAATTGGCCATGCGCTTGTACACAAAACATGATTCTGTCATGATCCTGCCACAAGACAAGAGGAATCAAAGACATGATGGCAGAATCATGACAGTCCCGATCAGGTTTTTTTGTCCTCGAGTCCGAGTCATTTGATTTTGAGTATCTACCGATACCGAGTCCCGATCCGATACTTATATAATACATAAAAAAGAATAAAGAAGAGCGAAAAAACAGATCCAGGATGTTGCTTATTTTTCCTTTAATTCACCTTATTTTAACATTCAACAACTCTGTTAACAAACAGAGCATTTTTGTGAGGTAGCTTGAACAATCAAGTAATAAATAACATAAAATCTTCACTTTTGGACTTTAGTGCAACAGTAAATATAGAAAAAGTCTAATATAAAAACAAATAGCTCCTCAACTTAAAATACCCGGCAGGCATGTAAACAAAAAATAAAAAGTGTTTTAAAAATGTATATTAAAAAAAAGAGAATATAGGCTACATTAGGGGTGTAACAGTTCACAAAATTCGCGGTTCGGTTCGATACGATACAGCAAAAAGAAAGAAATGCCAGAGAAATTTCCTATTTACTAAAAGAAAAAATATTTTAAATAAGTTTGAGTTTTCCTACATCTTGAAACTTTCAGGTTTATAAATGGGGGTAATCTTTGAAGGATGAACAAATAATGTTTTGGTAATCACATTAAAAATAACATTTAAATATATATTTATATAATATTTGAGTTTTGAAGTGCAACATTAAATCCATGTTCATTCACGGCACAATGTTTCCCCTGGTTTCCACGTCAGCGCTGTTTGATCTAATAGAGATCTACGGTTAATAACGGAGAAATGTGAATGCTTCTCACTAGATCTCGCAGCGATGTTATTACTTCAGTGGCGAACTCAAATGTTTTCTTCACTGGATCTCTCAGCGCTGTGTCGCTTGATCTCGCGCTGCACAGATGCTGCTGGTCCGAACTGATAATGGTCCGTTAAGCACAATATAGTGCAGTTTCGTTCCGCTTTCATTACGTTTGCCATTTGATGTTGCGCAATGTTGTGGTGATCGCGCCAGCGCGGATTTTGTCGGCAGGAAAAATGGTCCTAGGAATCATTCGGTTTGTATGCGTACCGATTGTTTAATAATTACGAATACATGTACCGTTACACCCCTAATTTACATATATCCGAGTCCTGATCGGGAGGTAACGTCCGATTCCGATCGAGTCTGAAACCAGGTGATCGGGCCCGATTTCAGATCGCGTGATCGGATCGGGACATCCCTATAAAAAATAAATCATGAGAACATGAACTTCATCACTGCATTTGCAGGAATTGTAAAATCTTTTTTCTTATTAACTCATGAAGTAGCCTAACGCAATATGTTTTACTCTAATAGCTTATATATGAACTGTGATCACGCACAACGAAAAACAACGTAGCGTAGCCTAAGAATTAAATCCCCCTCCCAGTACCATGGATAGTGCCACTCGGCTTGACATGTCAAAAGATTTATTTATGAATGGCAAAATTAAATGGCACAACGTAGTGTCAACTTAAACATAAATATGCTATAGTGTAGGCCTCATCATACTAGGAAAACAGTCTTTTTCTGCTTTCCTGTGGGAAAATCCGCAGCTTTCCAGTGGGTGGTCCATTTCGGATTTTATTTTTCTATCGCACTGACAGTTCACATTACAGCGCTTTACTTAGTTTAGGCTAGGCTACTTCTATCAGTCTGCTGAACCATGGATTGATTGCAAAGTTAAACCATCACAGTAGAAAAGTTGTACAACTGTTAAAGTAATAACTAAATAAAAATTTAAATAAAATTTACTTTAATCAAACCACGGACCCGTGATAAGTTTTGTGATCCGTCTCGCCACTATTGTAGTAGCACTGATCACTTTGAGGGGGGGATAAATTTATCCCCACCGGGGATAAAAATAATTAAGCAGAGGCAGGGATACTTTGACCAGAAAGGGGGAAATCCCACGCATCCCCCCCGGCAAATCGCACCCTGCATATAAGATATATATATACACATATTTTATATACATATACATACAGATTTAAAAGTGTGTATATATATATATATATATATATATATATATATATATATATATATATATATATATATATATATATATACACACACACATTTGTTTATATATATATATATATATATATGTATTTTTAAAGTATATATATTGATGCATTTACTTTTTAAATATACATATAGTATATTAAAT